CCTACTAATATCCAGGAGGCATGTCTCTTATATGCAGCCGGTCGAAGGAGACGCCTCTTAGCAGAAGAAATACAGGAGCAACCTCATACTATAACTCTTAACATAGAGTGCACACTACAATTGTCTACAATAATGCAGCTGATGCATCTAATCCAGCAAGGAATCGTCCCCATTCCCAACCAAGAAGCAGAACACCGCAACATACCGGATCCCCACAGCATCCCGTTGGAATTCGCCACTTTGGACCCATATTTGTTGCCAAATGACAGAAGTAACCAGCATGAGTCGTCCACCGCTCAAGCAGAAAGGTACCGCCAGGAGAGAGCAGCCTCCCGTCCTAGGCGAATTACCCGATCATCAACCAGAAGACGGCGTCTGAATCGTCAGGTCCTCCGTCGACAATAAATAGACTCATTGGTAAATGCTTCTTGGGAGGACTGTAAAAACATACGATCGAACCGTTTACAGTCCTCAACAAACGCTATTGACATGTAACCAGCTATAAAGAATAAAAGGCAAGAAGAATCAGAAAAAAAAAAAATAAAAAAAGGGGTCTCGACGAAGATAAATGTATAACTAGTGAGACATTCTCAAAGAATATAATCACAAAAGTGCCTGGACCTTATGTATTTGTTTTCCCGGCACCACCTTATTCTTAACCTCTGTTATGCGAAACATATAAGTTGTAACCCGGAATAACCTTTTTTTTATATAGCGTTCTTTATAATTTTTTTGGATATACAAAAATAATTAGATAGTATTATGATGAATTTTATATATCATGTGTTATATATATAGATAACTAACAAAAACTTGCTATTGATATTGTAATGTGCCCGGACCTTAAAATTTCATCTCCCGGCACCAACTTTTGTACTCATGTTAAGAGCAAATGCTCGAACTTGTCCATCCAGCTGTAGAGAAGAGAGAGAGTTCAAACCAAATGATAATGATTTTTAAGTGGGATCAAGTTCCCCCTTTGCTAAAATTCACGCGATATTAATTTATATAGGGTAGAAATACGTATTGAACCGTTTTAACTGGATCCAAACATTCCCATTGATTCCAGAACCAAACGGATGATCAGACAGAGAATCTTCGTATGATAAGGCGAACGAGTTGTTGCTAAATCATAAGAATCATGTAAAAACACACACTAATCTTCAAAAAAAATTGTAGTGTGGTTTTTAAGATAGAGGAGAGTGATGTGAAGGTCCGAAACCCTTTTTCTGTTTTAGAACTGTAAACCTTGGAATTTTCCTTGTAAAAGGAAAAAAAGGGAGAGCCTCTGCGGTCAATGACCGAGACGCTCTCCCCGAGTAAGAAAAAAAAAAGGGAATGTTAAAATATCATCCATAAGAAATCTCCTCCATTTGTTTAAAGGTAATTCTATAGACGTTAATTTCAACAAGACGAGGATAAGAGATGTTTCTTATCACCTCTTTGGTTGCACGTGACACGTGGTTACGGCTATAAATCGCCTCGTTCGTAGTCAAACACGACGTTTCATATACCAGGTAAACAATATCTAGATACTTGACCAGGTTAAAGAAATTACTGTCAGCTGAATGTTAATTTATGGATGAGAGCCATCAAACCTATAGAAATTTATATCATAAAATCATATCTTCTTGACACCAATATCAATAAATTAAACAAACTTCTCTGTGTCAGTTGTCCGTACTAGCTAGATCCAAACATCACACTAACAGGTGTGCGGATAAATCATTAGTAATGTCATAGTTCTCACCCCCTCAAATTTGGTATAAAGAGGGCTCTAAGCCCAGTTATCGGGGTGGCTTTCAAGATAGCCACAAACAACGGATTAACTGCCTTCAACGCTGACCACCGACAACGGACGACAAAGCTAACTTCTACTATCTACTACTTAGTAAGTAGAACTCTCTCTTTTCTCTCAGGTGGACTAAGGCTAATTCCGAAATTAAATAGTAATAAGGATCAGAGAATATCCTCTGACGGAAATAAGCGAAATGTAGTCCAGATAACCACCTATTGGAATTTCGGTTTGATATTATTATTATAGTTCTTATTATTATTTGTAACCTTTTTTTTATATAGCATTTGTTAATTAAATATATATATATTATCTTAAACATGACTCGTACTCGGTCCACACCTTATCGACTTATCCGCGACCTCCCACTCGATTTTCGCCCTCCTAAATTGCCATCCACTGACCCTGTGAGCGGGACTCACCTTCCCGTTGTCGGAAAACGGTTTAAGCTTAGACGCTCAAACCCCGATTCTCATAAATATTTAGGAAAGGAATTACAAACCTTCAGTTATACCTTTGTTGTAAGTACCGCTCTTCGATAGGCAGAGAATGCAGTCGCCGAATTCCGAACAAGCGTCACAAATTTAAGGTAAGCCATTGAATTACTGGAACGTGACCGAATAAGTTCCTATTTCTTGCCAAAGTCTCAATTACTAGAAATGTCAGCAGATGTGAACAAGCAATTACCCAGCGAAATTTTCCTTATAGAACCTTTAAATGGGGATAACGTTTTTAAATATTATCAATGGATAACCACTACCGCCAATTGCACTACCACGCAAGTTATGGATATTCGCAAGGTTTCCGTTGATCAGAAGGGTATTTTAATCTATACGAAGTAGTAAAATTTCCTGCTTATTTTCTGTTTACAAAAGTGTTTGCGTATTATCAAGTGGAGTATCCTTACATTGCTCTATCGAAAGATAGACAGTTGTAGGGGAGATCGGGGCAAGATCGGCATGTTAAGCTTTACTTAAATTTTGTGTAATAAATACTGCTGTAAACTGAAAAAAAAAGCTTTGCATATTGTCTATTGGAATGTTACCTTACTATAGAACTGGTTAAAATCAGTTTGGAAATAAAAATAATTAAAATAATTACAACTTTACAAGAAGAGAGAAATTGACGAAGTTGCCCCGGGTATAGGGGCAAGATCGGCAACTTCTCTTTTTTTGTAAAGTTGTAATTATTTTAATTATTTTTATTAAAGTTGCCCCTGGTATAGGGGCAATAGTAATGGGGCAAGATAGGCACGTATATAAAATTATGTTATTAACAATGTATAAGTTGGAATTCACTATTAAAACACAGAAATACAAATCCAACACCCATTTAATATTATTATAACGAAATGCAACTTCAAAGACATATATACATGAATAACAAATGCAAACATGTTTTCATTTATCATCTGTTTGATTTTTATCCTTTGCTTCTAATGTGGCTTTATGTTGCCGATCTTACCCCGCTAGTCATGATTTCGAAACATTAAGTACAACCCTGAGAACAGAATGCCAAGCCACGATCTGGCCACGTGAATAAGTTGAAGTTACATCCTTCTAACAGGAAAAGTAACTTTCGTTATCATGGAATTATAACAAAACCTGCCAATTCAATATAAATGGAAAAAAAATATTATATGGAATTCAACGAAAATGAAAATTTGCTTGATAATTCAACTACGCTTGTTGGAGAACAATAAAAACACTACACTCAACAAGCCACCAATAAAACTCAACTGCCTAACCTATAATCAAAGTTTTTTTTAAATTTGTTTTTTAAAAAAAGCGCTTGACAAACTTGCCCCGCATGCCGAAGTTGCCCCGATCTCCCCTACATGTTGTTAGAAGCGCACAATCTCCAAAAGTGAAAGAGCGGCTTGACAACCATTTGCGTGCCCATGGTAGCAGTATGAAAATTACCTTATCAATCCTGCGAATATGCCTTGTTTATAACCGACGAAGCAACGGTCAATGGACTGTGTAAAAGTCACAAGATATCCAAAACCCATGTTTCGACGAATTGACGAGGAAGGAACTTGGATTTATTCAACTCCTTCACCCATGAACCAGTCTAAAGCGACCGCAAGTACCAATGATCAAGTTAAACAACACTGGCATCTTCAAATTACCGATGATTTGTGTCGGTCACGCGCCCGGCGTGCGCCTAACATCACACTTCCAGGCTAGAACAACTTACAAGGTTGCAATCGAGATCATTATGTAGTACTGGCGATAACGGATATTCTTAATCAGACAGAGACAAGACTTCTCCGGAAGTATATTTACAAAAACACAACTTCGAGTATTCAAAAAAAGGAAACGGGAGATTGGTCCTTGGAACTTTTAGGACGAGAATTACGAGATATTAATGAAGATATAGAATTGGCAAAATCCGATATTTACGCTAATTCACAATACACACTTATGTACCGACTGTTTGGAATCTAGTCTCTATTGTACTAGTACTTTTTATGGTCATAGTATTTCTGGATAAGTAAATATAGATGTTGTAAAAGAGGAATGAGGAGAGGAAGAACACTCTCATTACCTAGGGTCAAACAAGCAAGAGAGGAGAACCCTATGAAAGTGATCGAATTAATGCCTGTAGCAGTTAAACCAAGTTCTCAGGCTATCTAAATGTTGGGGAGACATTTATAACTCTACCTTTGCGTGAGGAATACCGAGCACCTCCCGTAAAGGTAGAAACTCTCCCTTCCCAAGGAAGACGAATATAACGGACCGCGGAGAAAATACCCATACCTCCCTGCAGGTCGTTAAAAGAAAAGATAAATATTTGTTTATACGAGAAGAATAACACAGAAAGATATAACATACATTATTTCCTTATATTATTGATAAATTAATTTCGTTCTCCTTTTGTTTAGAAACCTTAAAGCATGGAAGAACAATCGAGTTCAGTGACCAGACTTTCGGAATCCAGTCTAGAAGCATCAAGTAATCCTCCAACAGATTCGGCAATGATAGCTCTCTTCGAATGTCCAGTATGTTATAGTTTCATGTCTCCACCAGTGTATCACTGTAAAGTGGGTCATGTGCTATGCTCTTACTGTAAAGTTCGAGTTAGTAGCTGTCCCACTTGTCGAGGCAAGATGGGGAACTACCGTAACCTCATATTGGAGAAAATGTAACAACTGATAGCCCTACCCTGTAAATATAGAGACAACAGGTGCTCAGAACTGAAGATGTTCTCCGAAAGGAAAGGACATGAGAAGTATTGCCCTTTTAATACTTGCCCATGTCCATCCCTAGACCCAGCCTTTCAATGGGAAGACACGTACCTACAGGCGCATCCCCATCTGTTAGAACATCATCCAACAATGTTGAGTCTGGACGATTACGTAATACATTCAGCCGTGACCGGACTGGTCCTATCTTCATCTCTGGTGTGGACCTCTCGTCTGAAATGCTATCAACAACATTTTCTAATTCAGATTATCAAAACTAAGACAGAAAATAAATTCTTTTATCCATATATTATAGTCTGGATTTTGACTAATAAACGTGACGCTGCTCGATTCCTGGGGAAGATAGAGGTCAAGGGAAGAGGAAGATCGATGAGCTGGAGTTTCGATCCACGGAGCATAACCAGTGAAGCTCAAGGGATTATGAGGAACGGCGATTGTTTAACCTTGACTTCGAAGGTAGAGGAAAGAATGCTAGAGCAACAAGCTCTAGGGGTGAGCGTGATTATAGACAAGCGGGAATTTTGAGGATTAGACGAAATAAACAAGAAGTCTTATTTCTCATCAACCACCTTTCCTTTTTTTTTCCTCTTATAGAAAAATTTGGGATACCTGCTAATTATCATTGCTGAAGCTTTACTCTTTTTTAAAGCTTAACTTCGTGGAAAAGCAAATTAGAGTCTGACAAACACTTGTCTTCACAAGTCAAGCGATGGAAGAAAGCACACCCAACGCAAACCTCTATGCAGCCTTACAAAGTATCTGGGACGAGGATGAGGACGAAGAGTGGGAACCCCGGAATCCCCTCTTCCGTCCCCAAGACGCGACAAGCCATAAAATGGATGAAGAGGCCGTACGACAATAGTTAACGCGAGTTAGGAGGAAGCTGGAATCCCTGCGGCGAGAGCTGCTTGCTTTGAACTTGGGAGCTGAACTTCCTCCGGAATTACGTGCAAAAATAGAAACAGTGAATAACAAAATTCTGAATAAGAAAACGGGAGGCCTGGTGGGAAAGACCTTGGAACAAGAAAACCAGTCTGACAAAAATTCGGAAGGAAGTCTGTGAAGGAAGCGGGAGGCCTCAACGATCATTACGTCCGCTCCCGTTCCAACAAACTCTTGACGCACGAGGAAAAACAGGAACGTGGGGAACACCGAGAGTGCCGAGTCGGTCACAAATGGGACCTCGACCACAACCACAATCTCCCGAAGCACAGGGAAGCTCGGGGATGGAAAAGACGAGATACACGGAACTGCCTAGGTTCCTCATCCCAATAAGCTAAAGTCAAGAAAACCAAAATAATACTATAATAATTATTATTATAATAATGCTAACGCAAGAGTCTTCTTTGAAAGGATCAGCGTCCTACAAGATCGCATGGGAGCCTCCCCACGGCTCAATATATCCGGACGAAGAAACTTTGTTCGTTTCGGAATTCCGAAACGAGAATTTTTGTCCTTCAAAAAAAAAAAACTAAGAACAATTTTTATATATATGTATGTTAAACCTATAAATGATATTTTTTTGTAAAATTTTGTGTATACCTATGTATAATTATAGATGATTGTCAAAAATAAATAATAAAATAATAAGAGTAAAATAATATATATTATTTAAGATAAGGACAGACGCCGCCCGAACCCTTCTAAGGTCGACGCTATCATCAATATGCCGCCGCCGACAGACCTATCCACACTTCGCTCATTTCTCGGTATGGTAAACTACTATCAAACCTTCGTCCACAACATGCGTCAAATTCGCCAACAACTAGACGAATTACATCAGAAAGACTGAAAGTGGCAGTTGTCGAACAAATGCCAACGGGCTATCCAGCGCATCAAGGACATTCTCAATTCGGATTTACTTCTCACACACTATAATCTGACGCTCGATATCATTATCGCAGCCAACGCGTCAAGTCTAGGGCTTAGTGCCATCATCCAATACCGCCTGCCTGACGGATCAATCAAGGCTATCGCTCACTCGTCTCGCACGCTCACTCCAGCCGAGAAAAACTATAGTCAAATCGAAAAAAAGATCTTGCACTCATCTTCTCTGTTCACAAGTTTCACAACATGATTTACGGACGATCTTTCACGCTTCTCACGGATCACAAACCTCTCCTCGCCATCTTCGGCAACAAGAAATGTATTCAGACACACACAGCGGACCGTTTGCAATGCTGGGCAACGACTCTTCTTGGATACAAGCCGAGATTGGAGCGGTAAAAATCCCTCCATACAACTTTTCCGACCCAGCCTTATGGTTGCACATGTGCGAAAGCACATTTGCGCTAGGATCTCCAAAGTCAATCACAAGTCAATCGAAAGTGCCACAAACTACGTAGCGGCCCATTTACCACCGGAAGTCTTATCAACAGTTAGAGACATTATTATTTCTCAGGACCTACAGACCCCTACGGTCACATAAAGGTGGAACTTATTAAACAATCCTACGAATCGTCTCAATAGGAGTTACGAAAACTATTGGCCGGGGAACAGCTAGGAGATCGCAAACCCTCCAAACTACTGTGTGTTCTAAAGCGTCGGGCGGAAATTTTCAAATTTTGAACGTAGTTATGCTAGAATTATTTATACAACACCTGACTTTTGTCCAATCTATGATAGCCGCCATTACTCCACTAGACGTAGACAAAACAGCGGAGGTAGCGGACTACGTGGTGGAGTAACCTCAGCAATAATAGTGTGAGATGCCTGTGTGCAAACCAATTTTTCACTTTTCACCTAAATTTTCGACAAATCTATATATATATAACCCATTCAACAAGTGTCCGTCCGTCCGTCCCGTAACTGCTTGATAACGGACACTAGAGGCGCCCCTATCGTGTGTCATATTTCAAACATTCAAATTAACAATTTTAATTCTTATTTAAATTAACAATATGAATTATTATTATTCATTTGGCCAATAAATTATTATTTGGTCAATATAACAATATAAATAATTCAGTATATTTGTAATACGAATTTATTATTTCAGGGGCTTATATCTCGCGAAGGGTCGCGAGTACGGGTATGGTTCCTTTGCCTTTATTGTTCGCACAGGGAGCTACAGTTTGGGGGCCGCCACCTCTGCACCTAATTTTACCATTGCGACTACAACAGAGATGTACAGCATATTGATAGGAACAAAAAAGTCAAAGGAACCGTGCTTCGTGGAAATTTGTAAACAACGCCCACTAGGGGCTACTAGTTTTACATAAAACAATCACCTTACCGTTAAAATAACATCGTTAGAAAAACATAATCAAATATCTCATAAACAACAATAGAAAGTTATAACTTTCCTCTTTAATGTAAACATTCAACAATCTCACAATGTCATTCTCATATTGCAAGACTGAAGATTTAATATTAACGTCCGATTTCTTTACTTTATTATAGTCGCGGGAACACCTTTCGACCTCCACACCTGCTAAAATAACCTCTAGCTCTAATAACCGTCCATCACATGACATTTTTCCTAGGCCAAATCAATAAAAGCCCCCATCGACCCCTCAGAGGAGTCTCTCACAAGTCAGACTATAATAAGGTGCGATGTCGTCGAGCGATTTTTATTCTGTGCGGTCTACGAATATCAGTCACGATTTCTATAACATTGTGCATCATCAACACAAGGACCGATACGAACCTTCGTGAGAATTAGTAAGCAGTATGATATCAAGTGTGTAAACTCTCTCTCCGCTCCTTAAACTTGTACTCGGAAGTTAGGAGAACTCTTGATTTTCGTAATTGTAAACATCCTTTTCGTTATTCAATTAATTTTTGATTTTCCTGTTATATGGTGTCCTTTGCTCGTTTATTGCCGACGCCTTACCGACGACCCCTCTCTCCTTCTCCACTCGACCTGGTAAAAAGAATCCCGACCCTTCGACATAGTAAACGTAACCAAGCAATCCACTGACAAGTCGGCAGTTTTCACCAAACTGTTGCCAACAAGAGGTACGACTTCGTCATACCTCCAGTGTCCCACAATAGCTTCAGTGTCGCAATCTGAGAAACCGGAAACCGTAACCAACAAAATACTAGTCGAAATAGATAAACTTAAATTAACAAGCGAATCGATAAACTAACCGCCGTGTAGTTTCTCAACAAAGGAGAGCAACAAAGCGTAGAGGAGACATGCACTTTGCTGCAACAATCTTGTCGCTTGTTCATCCTAGACAAGAGAATGAACATAAACTTTCTTGTCGACACAGGTTCCGACGTATCACTATTTCCGGCCTCCTCGTCTCAAAAGAAGCGCACATCTCAAATGACTGATGGCAGCAAACACAACTGCAATTTATGTCTACGACCAACGAACATTCACTCTCGATTTTTGGTTAAAAAAATTTTCGATGGAAATTCCTTATTGGCAACGTGTCAACGGCAATAATAGGTGCAGATTTCTTGTATCATTTCCATTCGGTACCGAATCTTAGACGCAAATGTCTCACAGACTATTATATCGATTTTGTTTTCGATAATGTTGTACTGTACATAAAAAAAACACATAGTTAATTAACAATTAACTTTATTCCCTCTCGATACAACCGACTGGGGTGACGACTACACAAGAACTCTCCCCGACACCCGAAAGGTATGTTGGAATTTTCACACCTGACCCGACACCCAGATCAAGTTACAACAGATAAGTCACAACGTTACAACACAGACGTTCAGACAAAGGTCAGACAAACTCTCCAGGCAAATTATTAGAAACCTTCATCCACTCTATTAAGACAACGACCAACGACTTCATATATCATAAGATATTGGAAGAATTTCCTGAGATCACCAGACCTCCACGTCCTAATCAACCCGTAAAACACAACGTATTACATCATACGTAAAACACAACGTATTACATCTTATAGAAACGATTGGTCTGCCCGTAACTGCGAAACCATGTCGCCTAGCACCCGATAGACTTAAAATCGCTGAGGCAATTAAATGTAACAAAAAAATAAACAAACGAACACTTACCGGCAAACAACACACGTTGCAAGCGCTATGCATACACTGGCACTCGACAACCGAATAACAATACTCGGAATAACAAGAAGCGAATGACGTCACAGAGGAGTTATTTTACGATTGGCAATCCCGTACTAGTGCTGGACAACGAATGATTGTGTCTGTACAACGAAACAGTTATTCAGTATACTACGAAAAGGGCGATTTTACTTAGAGGACATACCTTAATTAAACATCAATAGCGGCCAAGAGGTCTTCGTACCCTGAACACTGGGAGTTCGGTCGTGAGTCGTGGGTTCGCCTCGCTCGGACGGGCTGACCACGTAGAGTTTTCCGGGTTTTCTCCACGTCTGTAACGCCTAAATAGGGGCCAGTTTCCCTTAAAAAAGACTTCGCGAAAGGCATCTATCTTAGGCAGATCGCCCAAATGTCGCGTTGCCATAACTCAAACCAAATTAATCTTACGGTAGATGAGCAGCTCCTATTTTCTCAAGGCAAGTGCTCATTTCGGCAATATATTCCCAAAAGAACAAATATAGGGGTCAAAA